GGGCTTCAGGCTTACCGCTTTTGTTGCCTTCCCTATTTTGTAATTGGCACTTGGTGTATTTTTGCATCTTTACTGGATCTTGGTGCCCTGTCTGAGTCTGCTTGGGATTCGGTGTCTGGCCTACCTCGACGACTGGCTGGTGTGGGCTCCCAGTCGGTCTGCTTGTCTGCTTGCCAGGGGTGTGGTTCTTTCCAGATCGCTGGGTTTGGTTTCCTGGTGATCTGGAGGCCATTACATCTGTTTCCATCCCGGGTTCGGACCTGCCTGGGCCTTGTTTAGGGCTCTTGGGGCGCTCCTTGTCTTTCCCTCCAGAAGTATTGCTGTGGCTGTGGTCCCCCCTTCAGCTGTTCATGAGAGGGGTCCTGGGTTGCTCAGCGGTTGCTCGAGCAGTTGTGCGGGAGTTTGAACTTCGACGTACTGGTCTGCCCGAGGGGTGGTGTTTGGCTTTGGCGTCTGTTTGGTTCCTTCAGAGACTCCCCTTCCACCTCTCTTGCAATCGTTGGGTTTGTTCCTCCGGGATCTTGTGTTGGTGCTGCGTCACCAGCTTTGTCTTTTCGGGGTTCCGTGCCTTGGCATCTCCCCGAGCCTTTGCTCGATGTGTTTACGGACAGGTCATCTCTCGGCTGGGGCTTTGTGACCAGTGCTCAACAGGTCGGCCGGGGATGGTGGGTCTGTCTGTCCGTCGGGCTCACAGCACGGTTCGGGAGTTCGTGGCTGTCTGGTTTGCGCTTCGGAGGGTTTGGGTCACTCGGTTCTCTACCATTCGGCTCCATTCGGACTGTTCTCTGGCGGTTCTTTGTCGGAACCACAGGGTTTCTCTTAGGTGTTGACCTTTGGGGTTGGTTCCTTAGAGTGGCTCGTTTGCTGGACTCTCGGGGTTTGGCTAACCGTGAGGTTCATGTTCGGGGTGTGTCCAGCGGTCTCGGTTCATTCCTCTGTTTGCGGATTGGCCAGACGTCGACGACTTGTTTTGTTGGCTCTGCCAGACGTATGGACTCCTGGCCATGGACGTCTTCGAGTTGGCATGGTCTAGGCATCGCCCATTTTATGTGGCGCCCTTACCCGCCTGTGAGGCGTTCACGGTGGATGCTTTTCGGCAGGACTGGTCAAGGTGGGGGTACCTGTTCCTCTTCTCCCGGTCCAGCTGTTGCTTCTTATGGTTCCTTGGTGGCTGGCCCAGCTTTATTTTCAGACACTGCTTGATTGGTGTCCGAACCCGGGGCGTTTTCCCGCGGCTCCGCCTCTTTTGGCAGGTCGGATTGGTCCTGTACGTGACCGGTTTGGCCTTCTCCTCAGCTCTTCGCGTCTGGTATTTTGACGCGGGTATCACCATCTCTGTGGTGATCAGGTGGCTTTGTTGACGGTGTCCCACCTGCGAGCTTCGTCTTGGCGACAGTATGATGTTCCTGGTATTTCTATGCACTTTTCTTGCTCTTCGTAGGTTGTCTTGTCTTTCGCATCGGGTTGTCTTGTCCTTTCTTGGGTTTTCAGGACTAGAGTTATTTGATGTTTCCTACTGTCGCCTCATTTTGTGCAGCTCTGGCTTGTGTTCGGGGTGGACATCACATCTGCCCCGTTTCGTACGCTTTCTCGTGTTTTGTTTCACCTCCGGCCTGCTCATGTGTTGCCTGAGCCATCCTGGTCCTTGATCAGGGTGCCTTCTTATCTTATCCTCAGTTTGTGGTAGCCCCTTCGGTTCAGCTTTTTGCTCTTTGGTACTGGTGGTAGGTGTGTACGTTTGCAGTCTTTCTCCATCCTGGCGACGGTCGAGATGGCTGTTTTCTGGAGGGGTTCTTGGGTTATTGATGCTTGATTAGTTTGGCTGGGGGTGCGTCCTGTATTGTCCGGTTGCGCTTTTTGCTGTTACCTGCGTACCGTGTCTGGGGATGCGTTTGGAGTGTATCCGGTTCCCCTCGTTCCCTGTTTCAGGGCTCGGGTCTCCCAGGTCGTCCACAGAGTTTGTCAGTCTTCCAGCCTGCGGTCTGTCGTTGCGCCCGTGTTGTTCGGACGTTTGCAGCTTTTGCTGCTGTGTTGGTGATGTCTAGGGCTCATTTTGGGCGCAGGGATTTGAGGATCGCACAGGTTCTTGGCCGCCCATTCTTTATGCGCGTCTGCTCCTGTGCGTTCTTGTTGCCTTGGGTTGCAGGTTGCAGCCTGTTGTCTCGGCTTCGCATTGCGGAGTTTGTGGCGGCCGCCTCCCGGGTTAACCCTTTCTTTTCCTTCTCTTTGGGTATGAAGCTCCAGGGAGCTGTAGGGGCTCCCCACAGAAAACCAGAGTTGAATGTAATGAAACGCCATTTTCCGGGTGAATCCCGGAGGCTCCCTGGCAACCCTCCCTCCCACCAGTCTGCATTTTTTTCGCGTTGGTTGAAGCTTAGCTTCCGAACTGAAGCTAGGCAGCCAGCGCGGTAGGTCCGGGGCTTCCCTCTCCCCCTCTCGGGGCGGGGAGGGCTGCGCGGACGATCGGCGCAGCAGTAAAGGGTGATGTTTGCTTGTTTGCTTGTTTCCTTATGATTGTAGGGAGTTTCTACCTCTGTTCGGTTTTTTGTTTTAGTTTTTTACCATGTGGGGTTTGTTTTGTTATGCCTATCTTTCTGGGTGCCTAACCCCGGTCGATGGCAGATAAGGAAAACCCCAACCACAATGGGGTTTTCCAGGGCCATTGCTCCCTGAAACCTCTCTGAAGGGGCCAGGTTCTGGCGCTGGTCCCTGGTAGGTCTGAACTCCTTAGCAAATGTCCTGGTCTAATATAACATACATTAGCCCGATAAGCTCCAGTGAGCCTCCGGGACTCACCCAGAAAATGGTATTTCATTACATTCAACGCTGGTTTTTTCCTGTTGGCGTTTGCCTCTGAGGCTCGGGTCGCTGAGCTTCTTGCTCTCCTTCGGTCATGGCGTTTGGTTTGTTCGGTTGCAGCCATCTCCCTCTTTTCTGGCACGGGGTGAGGCTGCTGCATTCCAGGGGGTTCCTTGGTGCCTGGTTGGTCGGGCTGGGGGTGCGTTGTGTTTTGTGTTCAGTTGCGGCCCTCCGCTGTTATTTGCGCGCTGCAGCTTCTGTGTTCTGGGCGCGCTTTGGGTTGATCCGGTTCTGTTCTTCCCTGTTCATGGGTGAAGGTGTCCCGGGTCATCCGCCGTGTTATTGCGGCTGGCCAGCCTGTGTTCTTTGCCCATGGCGTTCGTGGATTCGCTACACTTGCTGCCATCTTGGCGGCGTGTCCTTGCTGACTTCGGGCACGGAGTTTTTTGGTGGTCGCAGACAACGAGCCTGGCTGCTCGTTGTCTTGTGTTGTTCCTGGGCCCGTTCGGGCCTGTGTTGCCTTGGGTTAGCGGTTGCAGCAAGTTGTCTCGATTTTCGTTGAGGGGTGCGTGGTGTTCGCCTCCCGGATCCGCCCTTTTGACCTTCCTCTGTGGGTAGTTAGCTCCGGGAAGCCGATGGGGCTCCCCCCAGAAATCCAGTGTTGAATGTAATGAAACGCCATTTTCTGGGTGTGACCTAGAGGCTCCCCGGCAACCTTCCCTCCCTCCCGGTCGGCAGTTTTTCGCGTGCTGTGACATCCAGCCTCAGAACTGATGGGTGGATACCCGGCATGAGAGATCTGGGGCTCCCCTTTCCCCTCCCGGGGAAGGGGGAGCTGCACAGACAGCAGTGCGGTGACGTGTGACGTCATACTTGTTTCTTGTTTTCTGTTGGGAGTTCTATCCACTAGTTTGGCTTTTGGTAGCAATTTTCACCAGAATAGGGGTCTGTTTTGGGATGCTTACCTTTCTGGATGTTTGACCCGGTCGATGGCAGACATAGAATGCTTCCAACCACACGGAGGATTCTATAAGCCATTGCTTCCCTTGCCTCTCTGAGGGAGCCAGGTTCTGGCCACGGTCCTCGGTAGGCCATAAGAACTCCATACACATGACTGATGCCAAAGTCTGACATTAGCATATCAGCCTGATATAGCTCTGGTATATCAGGCCTCTGGGTCACACCCAGAAAATGGCGTTTCATTACATTCAATGCTTGTTTTATGCTACTTGGTAATGTTTCACAGATCAGTTCTGTTTTTCAAAACAGTTTTTACCTGTTTTTCCAAACGTAATATTCCAAGTTGGGTTGGATATTTTTTAAATCTACTGTATATATGTTTATATACTGTAGGGGCCTCGTAGCCTGGTGGATAGCGCGCAGGACTTGTAATTCTGCGGCGCGGGTTCGATTCCCGCATGAGGCAGAAACAAATGGGCCAAGTTTCTTTCACCCTATGCCCCTGTTACCTAGCAGTAAATAGGTACCTGGGTGTTAGTCAGCTGTCACGGGCTGCTTCCTGGGGGTGGAGGCCTGGTCGAGGACCGGGCCGCGGGGACACTAAAGCCCCGAAATCATCTCAAGATAACCTCAAGATATATCCATTTAATCATGCTTTGTTTTACTCTCTTCCTCTTTAGGGAATGTGAATATACTGTACTTTGTTAGTCCCTTTACAAAGTAGGTCCTTAATGTTCAGAATTAGTTTAATCCTCCTCTGCTTATGCTTAAGAGAATTTACAACCATTCTATAGTTCTGCATAATCTTAAGTGCGGTCTCAAAAATCAGAGAAAACCTAATAGAAAACATAAGAGTTTTTGTTATCTTTTAACATAAAACACTTTTTTTAAGAATCCTTGTGCCTTATTGGAATTATTTTGAACATAGGTGCATTATCTTCTTGGTTTTAGATCCTATTAATCAAGAGGCTTGTCACAATTTGGTTTTGCAATTTTGATTTTGATTAGCTGATATCTGGGACCTTTTTTTTTTTTTTTTTTTTTTTTTTTTTTTTTTTTTTTTTTTTTTTTTTTTTTTTTTTTTTTTTTTTTGTCTAGGCATAAAACCCTACATTTAATTGCATCATCTAGCTTTCAGTCCAGTTTCAAAGATTATTTAGTTCTTCCTGAAAAGTTTCTACATATATTTTGAAATTGATCACCCACCCTATTATCATATCATCAGTAATATTTTTTAACAGATGTGTGCTCAAACCCGTGAACACTTCAAAGCCACAGGAGATGTAACAAGTTCGAATCGGTTTGAGCAGTTGATCCTTCATACTAAAAAGGACTTGGATGCAGTTCGAGCAGCCTTTAAAAGAGGAGATAATACTCCACGTTTCCACTATGAAACTAGATCTTTCAATATTATTCAGTAAGTAACAATTTATACTTTCAATATTATTCAATAAGTAACAACTTACATTATGCTACTTTTAATGTTTCTTATGAATGTGTCACAAAGAATAAGCTGACCTATTACATAGCAATTTTGCAAGATTAGGTGAGATTTCATAAACTCTATTTTCCAATTTTTTTTATTGGATATTTTGAATGTGTTCCACTCAAAAGCAAGTGATACACAGCCCCTCTGGTGTTTGAAACTGGTAGTAAAAATACTGAATACTTTTATTATTTGTCGGTGACTTATCAGTACTGTACTAAGATTAACACTTTCGCTCTGCGACAGACTTTCGGTGAGAATGCAATGCTGCATCCTCCATTAAAATATTTGCAAAAAATCCGTTTTTATCCAATTTTGGGGGGAACTGATTTTAAACTGCGCACAAACGTCTTCCCGTTCTCTTTGTTAGGCCATGTGGCACCCAGGCAGCGCAGGCCGCGCTGTAGGCCCACTGTTTTCGCTTCATTGTTGTGACCGGTCACGCTTCCCCTCGCGTCCACAACGTGTGAACACTTTGGCTATTTTGTGTGGCTATATTTCTTTGTGTAGCTTTAGATACTATCTGCGCTTACTCCTTGATGGATAGTGATCACGCACAGAGCCATTCCAGAAAGAAATCCGTGAAAAAAAATGCGTCAGGAGGAGATGCTAAGTAGTGTACACCAGAAGTACAAGCGAGTGAGACTCACACCCTCTAAGTTTCAGGCTGTATTTGATGATTTATCTGAATTATCTAGTGACGAAAGTGTTGTTGAGAGTGACAGTGATGAAGTTAGTGAATGTATTGAAATGGAAACAGCAGAGGAGGATTTTGATAGTGATGGAAATGAGAAGTCTGTGGTTGAGACTGCCACACGTGCACGGCGAGGTTCTGGAGCTCGTGTCAGAGCCAAACGTACCACACGTACCCCACCAACAACAGGTTCTGATGAAGGGTGGTGTAGTGACAATACTCCACCCTTTGTAGACAGTTTTACAGCCACACCAGGCATGACTGTTCCTGTACCTAGCACTGCTTTGGTGGTTTATTCAACTATTTCTCACTCAAAGCTTGCTGTAATATATGGTTTATGAAACTAATTTGTATGCTTCCCAAAGCCATGTATGTACTGGGACTATGACAAACAAAAGATGGGAACCAGTGACAGTGAAAGACATGGCCAGATATTTGGAAATGACGATCTTGACTGGTATTTGCCCGTTGCCAAGAATTAGAATGTACTGGCAAACAGGCAGATTCTGGCATATACCTTGTTTCAACAGGTTTATGACTTCTAAACGATATGAATTGATTGGAAAGTATTTTGATATTTATAACAATAATTCCATTCCACAAGGCCACACTGTAGACAGAGTAATCAAAGTTCGTTCAGTCATGCAATATCTCATCAATAAATTCAAGATATTATACATTCCTCAGAAAAATTTGAGTTTGGATGAAGGCATTGTGTGGCCGTCTAGCTTTCAAGACCTATAATCCCAATAAACATAATAAATATGCAATAAAGCTCTACATGCTAGCAGAATCCCAGACTGGTTACATCTTCGATTTTTAAATTTATGCAGGAATTTGGAAATCAACGATTGAAACGGTAATGGGCTTGATTGAACCACTGAAGAACAAAGGTCACCATTTATATATGGGCAACTATTATAATTTGGTTCGATTGAGTAAATTGCTGCATGAAGTAGGGGTGTACACCTGTGATACCATCAGAATGCAACGAGGTGCACCAGAAACCCTTCAGATCAGAGCAAAAGGTAAAGTGCCGGTAGATACAACTTTATTCAAACGGAAGGACAATACTTTCATAATTTTGTGGAAAGATAAGCGAGTGGTTTCACTTATAACAACTTGCCACAATGCAGATACACAAGAAGTTGAATGTAGAAAACGAGTACGGAATCGTGATGGAACATCTATTGTGCAACATGTCACTCTCAACAAGCCAAACGCAATCTGTGACTACAATACAAACATGAAAGGTATTGATCACTTTGACCAAATGGTCAAATATTATCGCTTCACAAGGAAAAGTCACAAATGGACGAGGAAACTGACCTATTTCTTCCAAATGGCTATCCACAATGCTTATGTGTTGTACATATACTACACAACAGATAGAAGGAAACTCACATTACTCCATTTCCATGAAGAAGTAAATTCTGCACAACTGTTCTATCATCCTAGTAAATGGCCTCAGCAAAATAATGACATCCCACATGCTGCTGATGTAAATGCCACTGGAGCCAATGTTGTAAATCCCGAACCATCAACACTCGGACCATCAAGTATGAGGCGCCCACTATTCACTTCACCTGTACCTGTAGCTGTACCTTCATCGTCTGAGTCAGAAGACGAGAATCTGATTATCCCTAGTGGTGCTGCTGCTACAAAAAGACCTTGTATTGTGGATGATCCAGAACGTCTCGACAGAAACTTGTCCCATACCCAAGTAAGGATAGAGAAGCGTCTGAGGTGTGGTGTTTGCAAAATGTCTGGTAAAAGAAGGGACACACACTATAAGTGCAAGACATGTGATGTGGCACTGTGTCCTGCACCATGCTACAGCAAATACCATCGCAAGAAACAATTCTGGGCTGATAAGCAGTAATGCTTGCCCACTATCCACTCCACCTATAAAAAACATGGGTTGACGCTTCAGGAAACATTTTTCTGCTACAGGTTGAGTGGATAAAACTAATGTTCAACCCTTGTCATGCTCCACAAACAACACTGGATTGGAAAGTATAAAAAGGTTTAGTTTTTATATATTTTATATTGTTGTTTATACTTTATTGTATTGTATTGGCAATATTGTTCTTCAATTTGCCCTTATATACTGTACATATATCCATCTAAAGCATTCTATTAGGAACGATTTCATACCAAAATGAGTGCTATAACATGAAAATTCATGTTAGCAACCGGAAAAAATACTAAATATTTGTGCGCAGGAATTGGGAGTGTAGTGGGTGGGCGACTGGGCGCTCCCTCGCGGGTAATGCATGGCCCCCCCCTTCAACTTGTCCGCGGGTGGAGCGTGACCCGGTTTTTTATTTTATATGCATATACTCCTCTAGAGAATTCTATTGCAAACCCATTGATACCAAAATGGAAGACCTGGGACGAAAATTGAGGTGACAAAAGTGAAAAAAGTGTACACATTTTATCGCTCTTGCGCACTCCCGGGTAACTCGTTCTCACTTTATCTGTTTGCTGTAATTACCTAAGTGTAATTACCTAAGTGTAGTTACAGGATGAGAGCTACGCTCGTGGTGTCCCGTCTTCCCAGCACTTTGTCATATAACGCTTTGAAACTACTGATGGTCTTGGCCTCCACCACCTTCTCCCCTAACTTGTTCCAACCGTCTACCACTCCGTTTGCGAAAGTGAATTTTCTTATATTTCTTCGGCATCTGTGTTTAGCTAGTTTATATCTATGACCTCTTGTTCTTAAAGTTCCAGGTCTCAGGAAATCTTCCCTATCGATTTTATCAATTCCTGTTACTATTTTGTATGTAGTGATCATATCACCTCTTTTTCTTCTGTCTTCTAGTTTTGGCATATTTAATGCCTCTAACCTCTCCTCGTAGCTCTTGCCCTTCAGTTCTGGGAGCCACTTAGTAGCATGTCTTTGCACCTTTTCCAGTTTGTTGATGTGCTTCTTAAGATATGGGCACCACACAACTGCTGCATATTCTAGCTTTGGCCTAACAAAAGTCGTGAACAATTTCTTTAGTATATCGCCATCCATGTATTTAAAAGCAATTCTGAAGTTAGAAAGCGTGGCATAGGCTCCTCGCACAATATTCTTTATGTGATCCTCAGGTGATAGTTTTCTATCTAGAACCACCCCTAGATCTCTTTCTTTATCAGAATTCTTTAAAGATTTCTCACATAATATATAGGTTGTGTGGGGTCTATGTTCTCCTATTCCACATTCCATAACATGGCATTTATTAACATTAAATTACATTTGCCAAGTGGCGCTCCATGTACTTATTTTGTCCAGGTCTTCTTGAAGGGCATGACAATCATCTAAGTTTCTTATCCTTCCTATTATCTTATTATCATCAGCAAACATGTTCATATAATTCTGTATACCAACTGGTAGATCATTTATGTAGACAATAAACATCACTGGTGCAAGAGCTGAACCCTGTGGTACTCCACTTGTGACATTTCTCCAGTCCGATACATTGCCTCTGATTACTGCCCTCATTTTTCTGTCAGTCAGAAAATTTTTCATCCATGTTAGAAGCGTACCTGTCACTCCTCCAATATTTTCCAGTTTCCAGAACAACCTCTTATGTGGAACTCTGTCGAAAGCCTTTTTCAGGTCCAGATAGATGCAGTCAACCCAACCATCTCTTTCCTGTAATATCTCTGTTGCTCGATCATAGAAACTGAGTAAATTCGATACACAGGATCTTCCAGATCGAAAACCATACTGTCTGTCTGATATTATATCATTTCTCTCCAGGTGTTCTACCCATTTAGATTTAATTATTTTTTCCAATATTTTGACTATTACACTTGTCAATGATACTGGTCTATAATTAAAGGGGTCTTCCCTGCTTCCACTTGTGTAGATTGGAACTTTGTTAGCCTTTTTCCACGCATCAGCTACAACTCCTGTAAACAGGGATGCCTGAAAAATCAGTTGAAGAGGAATGCTGAGCTCAGATGCACATTCTCTCAGAACCCATGGTGAAACTCCATCTGGACCAACTGCTTTGTTCTTATTTAGCTCCTTGAGCATTTTTTCCACTTCGTCTCTAGACACCTCTATGTGCTCTATGTTGTTCTCTGGAATTCTTATTGTATCTGGTTCCCTGAAGATTTCATTTTGTACAAACACACTTTGGAACTTTTCATTTAATGTTTCACACATTTCCTTTTCATTTTCCGTGAATCTATTTCCCATTTTCAACCTCTGAATATTATCCTTTACCTGCAATTTGTTGTTTATGAATTTATAGAATAGACCTGGTTCTGTTTTACATTTGTCTGCAATCCCTTTTTCAAAATTTCTTTCTGCCTCTCTTCTCACTGCCGTGTAGTTGTTTCTCGCATCTTTGTATCGCTGGTATGTTTGGGGGTTCGGCCTCTTCCTGTATTGATTCCATTTTTGTGTCTTTTGGTCTCTGGCCCTCTCGCACTTTCTGTTGAACCAATCCTGTTTCCTAGTTCTGCTTCTCTGTTTTGGTATAAATTTTGTTGTGCCTTTATCATATATTTCACAAAACCTGACATACATCTCATTCACTTCCTTGCCTAGCAACAAGTCTGTCCAATTATACTCACTAAAAAATTTTCTAAGGTTGCCATAATGTCCTCTCTTAAAGTCAGGTTTTTCAATTGCATCGACCGTCATATTTTCTTGCAGATTATAACGCATTGCATACTTTATTCCCAAAAAGACATGGTCACTTTTACCCAAGGGAGGAAGGTACTGAGTGTCAAATATTTCTTCCTCCTTCCTGGTAAATATCAAATCTAGCATGGAGGGAATGTCCCCTTCCCTCATCCTCGTAGCTTGTTTAACATGTTGATACAAGAATGTTTCCAGGATGAAGTCTACAAATTTACAGGTCCAGAAATCTTCTGTTTTAGCTTCACATGCTTCCCAGTCTAAGGATTTCAAGTTGAAGTCGTCAACTATCAACAGTCGTGAACTATCGTTATCCGCTCTCGCAATGATCTCTCTCATTATTGTTATAAGACCTTCTCGTTTACTGTCTAGCTCCTCCTTTGACCATGTGCTGCTTGGCGGTGGACTATATGCATTTATGATCATTAGTTTATCATCCTCATGGCAGATCTCTAGTGCTATTATGTCAACTTCTTGTGGATTGGCAGTCACTATTTCGTTCACCTTTAGGTGTTCTTTCACCAGCACAGCAACGCCATCGCCTTTCCTGATTTTTCTGTCCCGTCTCCAAATTGAGTAGCCAAATTGAGTGGGAATATGACCTCATTTAAAATAGCATCTTGAAGTTTTGTCTCCGTGAGTGCAACAATGTCTGGTGTCTGCAGCTGTATTATATCACTTAACGGGTGGTAAGCTGGGCTTTTGGGCTGTGGGTGGTAAGCTGGGCTTTTGGAGTTTATATACATTTACTCCTCTAGAGAATTCTATTGTGAACACATTGGTCCCAAATTTATTATCTTGGGACGAGAATTGAGGTGACAAAGTTGAAAAGAGTAAACACTTTTCAGAATTTCCATGCGCTCCCGTGAAATGCCCAAACCCACCTGGGGTAGTGCGGCGCTCGCCTGCCTAGAACGCAAAAGTGTTAACAACTTCATATTCTGTTGTCATTTTCTGTAAAAAGTGTTGATTCCATTAAAATGAGGAGAGCTTAAATTTGATCTCACCAGAGAAGTGAACCACATTATATCCCATGGTGCAATATCAAAAATCTACTGTACATCAAGGTGACTCATGGAATTGAGGCTCATTTCATCTACAGTATTCTTAATTTTAAGGCATCCAATCTCTTAAGATCTATTCTAGTGTGTGTTGTAACACCTGCCAAACCTTTGACCTTGGGTCACTTCTGTAGCTCTTATTACACTCTTACATCTGATCATTCTTTTGATTGAGTAAGCTTAAAGAGAATGCAAACCATATAGGGTTATGTATTCAGAAGTGTGGCATTTTGTAATATAATTCCTGACATTATGAATTGCTCTACAGTATAGTACCAGTATACATTATATTGTACTGGTATTATAATTTATGGAATTTGTATTATGTTTCTCTTCAACTGCAAATTGACTTTCTTAGTAACTTTTAACTAATACAAATAAACAATTTTTGTTTATTGAACACCTTTTTTTGCTACATCTTCTTTTCAGATGCAACACAGATCTAAATGACTCTGACTGTGAAGTTTGCATTGTGCGAGGTATTAACTTCAATGTGCAGAATCCCACAGAAATTGACACTTACTTAAAGATAGAGTTCCCATACCCCTCTGTAAGTATTCGTATTCCTTTAGTTGCACTTTGGAAGATTTTACAAGTTAATAGGAAATTGTTAATAATCTTTTTCTTTCATTTGAGATGCCACATTAAATCAAAATAAACATAGCAAATGTATAAAAGTGATTTATCGTTACATATGGCTGTCTATTAATATTCAGTAATCCAATTCCCAACTCTGGTTTAACATATCAGCGGGTACAGTATACAAAAACCAGTTTGTCATCTTACATCTTCTGTCACTGGTAACTTCATTTTTTTTCTGTGGCTAAAATAATACAATGAGTTAAGTTAGGTTTTGGTTAGATTATTTGGTTTAATTTGATCAGTTTATATCAATTATGGCAGTAAAATAAAATATTCAACTGCTGTAGTATGTGCTGCCAGTGACCCTGGTAGCATGTGCAGTATTTTTCTTAACTCATGAAATAAATGGAAATTTCTGCATGTAAATAGCACAATAGTGAGCAAAGCATTTTACACCAAGATGACCTACCGTTGAAAATACTATATAATCTACCTCAAAATATAACAACACCTGAAACAGATCTATTCAATGGTCCAGGCATAGGCAACAGGATATTATTAGGTGTGTTTTTTTTTAATATATTTTGAACATCTTGGATGGGGTCATATATTATGATTTCCCTTCTTCAAAGTTCTGTACCAGTAAAGAATGAACACGTTTCAACTTCTGCACACATGTTACAGCAGGTAGACCATGTGATGTGGTGAAATACTTGTTTGAAAGTGTTGGTTCATAAATATCATTGGATATAATAAAGGACACGTTATATAAATTATTCTATGCAAGGCAAAATAAAAGTTAGCACGGAGGGAATGACTATTCTTTTATAATCTGTGTCTGTGCATGACAAATTTTTTTCTGTTTTAGGATACTCCTCCTCAAGACCGCAGCTTTGTGGTAAAGGATACCAATAATCCAGAATACAACCACAAAATTGTCTTTAGTATAGATCGCAAATCTCGGGCATTAGCGCGTTGCTTCAAAAGACATGCTCTCAAAGTGCAAATTTATGCTAAAGGGTAAGTTACTTATCAACAGGTACTCCATGGTTATTTGTGCATTTCATCTTCATGTACTAATAAAATAATTATAATAAATACAAGGATCATCCTCACTCTAATAAAACCTAATTAAATTACCATACAGTACTCAGATTAGGCAAAATTATAATTTTGTCAATAAAGATGTTAATAATAATAATAATAATAATGGAAACATATAATAAAGTAATTCATGTACAATATTGTAGTACAGTAAATATCCAGTTATCCGAACCTTCTGAGGATCCGATGCAGCTTTGGTCTTGTCAGATACTGTACTGTGTTCATGTTTATTACTGATGTTGCAGATTCTTAGAGGCACATTGTCCAGTGCTAAATAATCTTCATGGCTTTGTACCTACTTTCCATAATTTCTTCTTGAAAATGCAGGGGTGGTCAGTTTCAGTATCTTTTGCAAAGACTATACAGTACACAAAAAGAAAAGTGTATTATAAAACAATGTACAGCATATGGAATTAACATTATATTTGTTGAACAGGAGCTGGTTTCATCGTGACACACTCTTAGGCTTGGTGAAAGTTCCCTTGGTGACCTTAGAAACAAAATGCACCTTGCACGAGTCCTATGATGTAAGTAAACAATTTTGAAATTTTAATTTTCATGCTGTTATTTAACTCAAATTTTGGTGAAATATTTTGCTGCTTTAGACAAATCAGTAATATTTCATGCTTCAGCAAAGAAATTACATCTATTCCAAATAGCTAATTGACGAGCGTAAGCGCATGGTCGGGGGCAAGCTGGAAGTGAAGATTCGAGTGAGAAATCCTATTGTTACCAAGCAACTTGAGAAGGTCACAGAAAAATGGTTAGTTATTGATGGTTTCTAAACAAAAAGGAAATTGTATATCTTAGGATATTACCCATAATTGAAACAGTAAAAGCTCTGTAAACTAGTTTCTGGTTTGCTTTGCCACTATCATTACAACTAAGATATGTCATTGTATCATATTTAAAAAATTCCAGCAGACTTTTAATTTTGCTGCAGTAGTAAAATATTGATTTATTTTTATTTATAAATTAGTTATATATCAAGTTCTCCAATGCTGTATTGACTATTGAGAAATAGTTAAGAAATTGTATAATGTAATTTTCTTGCGTGTTGAAGATAAAATATATTCTGCTAATTGCTAGTCGTCAAATGGCCAAATGTCATGGTAGACAATGTGGGTTACTTTATGCAACGTTATTAAAACACACGAAGATGAATACATGCACATGAACACACAAAAATGTAACACATTCTTACAGAATATTAATTTACAGAATTATATATCTTTTAATACTCATATTTACAATCTAGGCATTGGATAGCCAGCCAGCAAAATATATACCCATAATTGAGAATATTTAAAGCAAATCAAAGTTATATATAAAACAGATTTGTTGCTCAGAAACAGTGTTTGTTAATAAGAGATGAATAGCTTCATGAAAAAGCTGCATTTTTGTTTGTAATGATGTAAGCTTCATGAAGCCAGACACTTCTAATGCTTAAGAGAAGCTAAATATGAGAGCTGGAACTGTATGTGATATTAATGCCTAATTAAATTACTGTAGTTAAGTAATCACTTTTCTTACTCTGAAAGGTCAGTGATGATCTTACCCTTTTGTATTTAGCACATTAACAGTGTTTTCTGGATGGATATTATAGCATTATATTTTAATCCAGTTGTGCAATACCTCTACCCTTACACTTTTATTCCATATTCAGTTGATTTTTCAGTTCTTCACAGTTGACAGTATTGTACCAGTGCATCATATTTCATAAATAAGAGTGGTTTGAAAGGGATGTAATTTTGCCAATTATTGTATTTGAATTTCATTATACTGTAAGCTGTGTTCTGAAAGATCCACTCACAAGTGCCTGCATCCGCATTGTTTCCTGGGTGTTCTGTAAAAGGTTTTTATTTGTTTTTACTTATTCATATTGATATATTAGCTATTTCTGGTAAGTGTATACTGTATTACAGTATATAATTTGTATCGTGTCATACAGCTTTAAGCAGGCTTATCTGATTTTTTCTACCCCTTGCTGGTCCTCACTCTCAACATACAATTGAAAGTTAAACTTCCATTTCAGTGTTACTATATTACAGCAAATAAATTTATTTACCTCAGTTGATATTGAAGGTTTATGCAGTGTTCATTTATTCCTCTGCTAAGTTCACCATGGGAAGAGTTAACACTTCAACTAATGATGGAGAATGAAATATAATTTGTTCAGTGACAGGAAATTTGTATATACAGTGGTACCTCAGTTTAAGAGTTTAATCCGTTCCTGGAGACGGCTCGTATTCCGAAAACTCGTAATCCGAAGCTAATTTCCCCATAAGAAATAATGGGAAATGAATTAATCCGTTCCTGACTACCCAAAAACCTCACTTCAAACTAAATTTTATACTTAATTCATCTAAATAAACCTACAAAACTATGTTCAAGTTATTACTTACCCTTGCTGATGACTGCTGTTGACGTATGGAAGATGGTGAGGAGGAGGGAGGAGGAGAGGTGTTACTGTTTGGAAGGGGAGTCCCCATCCATTATAACATCAGGCAGTGAAGACTTCACTGGTGTGCACTCCGGCACATTTTGCCTGCATACCACTAGGACTTGCTTGTCTTACTAAGAATCTATCTAAAGACACTTGTTTTTCCATACATTTTAACACTTGTCTATAGTAAGACTTCACATTGTCATTTAAAAGGTCAATGCAACGGCCTGCTACAGCTTTATCTGGGTGAGTTTTTTCAACAAAACTTTATAGTTCTTCCCATACTTCACGTATTTTCTTAATCAAGAAGGGACATCCTCTACTGCCTCTACTCACAGCTATTTTCTTAGGTTGAACCTTACCAATGGCTTTCTTGAGAATCATTACGAGATATATAATAACAACTTTTATACTCAAATTTCCAAAAAACTGTAAATCCTTGTGAAGAATTCAAGCAGGATAGTCACTGGGCGCAAGACACTGGTAGACTGAGGCGCGATCGCCATGCCACCACACGCTAGTCGGCCTGTACGTGTATCAACAAACTCGTATTCCAAGGCAACCCTCGCCTTCAGAGGCAAATTTTCCAAGCAAATCCTGCTCGTATTCCGAAAAACTCGTATACAGGGACACTCGTATTCCTAGGTACCACTGTATTTATATACGAACATAAGAATGAAGGTTACTGCAGAAGGCCTATTGGCTCATACGAGGCAGCTCCTATTTACACCCACCCAATCTCATTCATATTATATATATGTATATATATGTGTGTGTGTGTCTAACCTACGCTTTAAACTTTATAGTTTAGGCTTGTTTTCAGGTCCCCCATAAGGTCGAACTCTCTACCTTTCCCAGGATGAAACCCCCACAACAGTTTCCAAACTCCCAGGTGCCTTCTTAATGCTAGGTGAAAGGAAACGTGCCAAACCACTTGTCCCGACTGGGAATCAAACCCAGGATTCCCGATTGCGAGTCGAAAATTAAGCCTACTGTACAACTAGATGTAGTATGCTTCGTATTTTTATTTTTATTTTTTTTGGCCTAAAATGGGTGTTGAACAATCACTCGCAGGAAAAAAAGAAACCAGGAATCTTATTTGATCGTGCATTGTAGCATTTTATGTCCAACCAAGCTCATTTATATGCATGTCAAAATAACATTTCAACCATTCTAACAATTTCATGTCTGTTATATTATCTTGAGATGATTTTGGGGCTTTAGTGTCCCTCCACCCCCAGGAAGTAGCCCGTGACAGCTAACTAACTTCCAGGTACCTATTTACTGCTATGTAACAGGTGCATCAGGGTGAAAGAAACTCTGCCCATTGTTTCTCGCCGGCGCCCGGGATCGAACCCGGGACCACAGGATCACGCCTCCAGTGTTCTGTCTGCTCAGCCACCGGCTCCCAATAATTTGGGAGCTGGGAGCAAATTATTACCTAATAATTTGTTTCCAAATCTATTCATTGACAGAACATCATTCATACAGATTTGAGTACTACCATTGAAACCCTGAAACAAGAGTATCAACTAGGTGCCAAATTATGTAGGAATATCAGGAAATGACATTGCAGATTTTAAAAAAATGGCAACTGAAAAAGGATATGTAGATATTAACATCACAGTCTAGCACAGATTAAATAAAAAAATTAGCTTGAACACAAGATGCACAGTTGCAATAACACAGCAGCTTTAACATCATGATTTGCAGGATGGTATAATAATTTGACAAACTATGAACATTTTATTTTATTTAGGACAACAGAAGAGCCTGCAAGTGGATTTTTCAATACATTACATAGTATACAATCCCTTCCACTGTGATCTGCACTTGGAACTTTATACATCTTTGTCAATAGATTCCAGTACAGTACACTATTAATATGTTAATGAAACTTGCAGTTTACTACAAGGATATTCTCCAGGTAAACATGCCTTCCCTCAACAGAATGAGAGAGAGGGGTGGGAAGTAGGTAGGTTATCTTGAGGTTATCTTGATGATTTCGGGGCTTTAGTGTCCCCGCGGCTCGGTCCTCGACCAGGCCTCCACCCCCAGGAAGCATATGACAGCTGACTAACACCCAGGTACCTATTTTACTGCTAGGTAACAGGGGCATAGGGTGAAAGAAACTCTGCCCATTGTTTCTCGCCGACGCCTGGGATCGAACCCAGGACCACAGGATCACAAGTCCCACGTGCTGTCCGCTCGGCCGACCGGCTCCTATGTCCTGGAGACAGCTCGTAACCCGAAAACTCGTAAACCGAAACTAATTTCCCCATAAGAAATAATGGGAAATGAATTAATCCGTTCCCGACTACCCAAAAACTTCACTTCAAACTAAATTTTATACCTAATTTATCCAAATCTACACTATAAAAGTATGTTCAAGTTATTACCCTTGCTGATGACTGTTGGCATATGGAAGATGGTGAGGAGGGAGGAGGAGAAGAGGTGTTACTGTTTGGAAGGGGAGTCCCCTTCCATTATAACATCAGGCAGTAAAGCTTTTTCTGGGGTACACTCTCTGGCACATTTTGCCTGCATACCACTAGATCCTGGTTGTGGCTCACTGCTTGATTTTCTCGCAACGAAATGATCCATTGAAGATTGTTTTTCCCTTCGCAACATTTGTCTGTAGTTAGGCAGCACATTGTCATTGAAAATATTAATGCAACGGCCTACCACAGCTTTCTCTGGGCGAGTCGTTTCAATAAAAGTTTGCATTTCTTCCCACATTTCTTCCTAATGGTTGTGGAAGGGACATCCTCTTTTGCCTCATCCTCCTCCACTGGAGAAATATCCTCAGCTGCTTCTTGCTGCTCCTTTTGAAGGGCTTGGAGTTCTTCGGTGGTCAGTTCTTCGTCGTGTTCTTCCACTAACTCCTCCACATCAGCACCATCCAATTCCAAGCCCATCTTCCGGCCCAGAGTAACAATTTCCTCAACAATAGGCACTTCATTTACAGGCTCAAATTCCTCAAAGTCTTGTTCTGTCACACATTCAGGCCACAATTTTCTCCAGCCAGAGATCCGGGTTCTTTGAGTCACTTCTTGCCAGGCTTTGTCAACAAGTATTAAAGCACTACAAATGTTAAAATGGTCTTTCCAGAACTCTTTGAGGGTGAGGTTTGTGGCTTCAGCCACTTCAAAACATTTCCGGGAAAGTTCCCTATCATAAAGTTTCTTAAAATGTGCTATGATTTTCTGCTCCATAGGCTGAATTAGAGGAGTGGTGTTAGGAGGAAGGAACTTTACTGTGAGAAAATTACTGTATCTGTTCAACAATGCATCTTCCAAGCCTGGAGGATGAGCAGGGCCTTGAGTGGCAAATTTTTCTCTTGGCAAATATTTTTGTATGGCAGGGCACACTACATAATTCACCCACTCCGTAAAAAAATCCTAGTCACCCATGCCTTATTATTTGCCCTCCACATCACACACATTTGTTTTTTCCGCAAACCATACTTTTTGAAAACCCTTGGATTATCAGAATGATGCACAAGCAAGTAATTAATTATCAAAAGAAGGCACCAAACAGGGAAGGCTATGTAGAATGATACACAAGCAAGGGTTTAATTTTCAAATCGCCACTCGCATTTCCACACAGCACAAGCATAAACCTATCCCTCATAGGCTTGTGTCCGGGCAATGATTTTTCCTCCTTGGTAATGTATGTCCTCTTAGGCAATCTTTTTCCAGAACAGTCCTGTCTCATCACAATTAAACACTTGTTGCAGTAGGTATCCCTCAGCCTCTACAAACTAAGTTCTTCAATAAATCTTTCAGCCGCTGGTTTGTCTGAGCTGGCAGCCTCCCCATGCCTCAACACTATGAATACCACTCCTTTTTTTAAATTTGTCAAACCATCCCCTGCTTGCCTTAAAGTCTATCGTATCTGCACTTGTTCCAAGGGTTTCTTTACAAGGTCTTCATGCAATACCCTGGTTTTCTCACAAATGATGGCCTCTGAAACACTATCACCCACTAACTCCTTGTTGTGTATCCAAATTAATAACTTTTCCACAAACTCAAGTATTTGTGGTCTTTGTTTTGCGATTGTTGATACGCCTTTTGCCACTTTAGCACTCGTGTCCTTTTTCTTGGCAAGTATAGAGCATATCATTGATGTGGATTTGTTGTACTGCCTAGCTAGTTCAACTCTAGTACCATTTTCATGCTTCCGAATTATCTCTTATTTTTCCTCTATTGTCATCCTCACATGCGATTTCTTGCCTAGAACCTTACCACTGGCTTTCTTAGGATCCATGGCGAGATATATAACTTTTATGCTCAAATGGCCAAAAATCTGACAAACTGTAAATCCTTGTGAAGAATTCAGGTGGGATAGTCACTGGGCGCAAGGCACTGGTAAATTGAGCCGCCATCGCTATGCCACCACGTGCTAGGTCGGCCCGTATGCGTATCAACAAACTCGTAACCCAATGCAATGCTCGTATCCCGATGCAAATTTTTCGACCAAATTGGGCTCATAACCCGAAAAACTCGTAAACAGGGGTTCCACTGTACAGTACTGTACTAATTAATCACTGCTATTTCTATTGTTTATCGTTTCTAAATTAAAGTAGTAACTCGCTTTATAATTTGGTTTATAATTACTTTATAATTTGGTTTACCTTTGTTAAGAGGATTTTCACTTTCATGAAAATATTTCATAGAATGAACACTTTTTTTTTTGTTTTTTTTTTTTAAGATATATACAAGAGTTGTTACATTCTTGTACAGCCACTAGTACGCGTAGCGTTTCGGCAGGTCCCTGGAATACGATCCCCTGCCGCGAAGAATCGTTTTTTCATCCAAGTACACATTTTATTGTTGCGTTAAACAGAGGCTACAGTTAAGGAATTGAGCCCAGTAAATCCTCCCCAGCCAGGATACGAACCCATGACATAGCGCTCGCGGAACGCCAGGCGAGTGTCTTACCACTACACCACGGAGACTAATTACAGTTAATGTGTTATTCACGTAAGTAATTATCAAAAGATGGTGCCAAGCCGGGGAGACTATGTAGCGTGTGTTACTCAAAGCTTTACATTCTTGTGTTCCAAGATGAATTTGGGCATCGTTCTATGTCAAGTACAGTATCCTCAAATCTCATTACTAACCAATTTCTGACTCATGATGATGTGTGATGATTCAGTTATTAATCTCACAAATGAGAGGAGTTTACACAAACCCCCACATGGCCACACTACCATATGCATGTCTCAACCAATCACTGCTTGTGAATCCAAACACTTTCTTCTTGAAAACCGACATATTTGATGATGAAACTTGGTGATAGTGTATACAAAATCCCAATAGAACTAAAAAGGCAAAGTTCTTAAAAGTAAAAATTTCTGAAATAAAAGCAACCAGTCAAGAAAAGTGTCGCCTCTCTAAAACATTGCAGTACTCAGACATCAATGAGCTCCCCTCTCATAGCAAATATATTTGATTTTTATTACAAGATAAGAGAAATCATTTGTACAATAATATTTTATAAAATATATGGTATGCTTGAAAGTATAAATGTGTAATCATTTGGTTCAAATAGTGACATGGTTTTAGGGTAATAAATGTATGTTTTGAGTGCACGTATACTCATTATATACAGTACTAGTTTTTATACAGGACAGGAAATATTGGAACACATTTAGATAAAACATAACTTGTCCAGTTATAATTGTCATGCCAACAACAAAGTGTTTCTGAACACTTGGATAAATAATGAATTATTCAGTGTATGTTTTACGTATCGCGCATCATTTTTTAAACAAGATCAACGTTTAAAACTATTCTTTACTTTACATACAACAGAAAAATTGCTTTAAAACATTACTTAAATACCAAAGTATAGCAAACCATACCTCTTCCAGGCAAAATATAATGGAACAATTTAGTAAAGTAGTACGAGTTGATGTCCATCCAATGGGGGGTGTAAATTCCATCTACTTTCAAAATTACCTGAAGAAACATTCAATTAATTTGTTTCTTATACTGCATAGTGATATTGATTAAACATTTACATTTGGAAAAGCATTCACCATAATTCAGTGATGTCTCGCACAATACCAACATTTAATAGATACATAGTAAATTGCATCTTACTTTTTGATACAATTGTATCTATAAAATGATATCTATAACTAAATTGATATATAACTATAACTTGATAAATTGTATCTATAACTTACTAGCACTTAAAGTGCCAGTAAGTTTTAGAGTGCAACATAACTTCTAGATGAATCCAGAAACACATTCTTTCTGGAAATTCACCAAGGGGCTTGCCACAAATAAAAAAAAATTGTAATTACTTGTATATGTTTATCACTTCATTTGTATGTAAATACAACCATGAATGAGCACTACAACCTTGAAAGTGTTTTAGCCAGGAAAGCTGAGCTTAAACATCATAATAGTCAACATGGTCTCCAGACTTGAATTTACGTTGCTTCAATATATCCAAGAGTTTGTTGGCAGACACATTACAGGGAAGAAGTTTGCCTTCCTCCTTTAACGATGCAAAAGTTGACCTTAGTTCTTTATCTGTTGTTGCTCTACGAGCAATCTCCTGTAAAATATTATTGGAGGATAAGCATTTTGCAATTAATTTTCACTAAATCTATTACTGAAACTAGATTAATCAAAATTATACATCTTATGAAGATCAGTATAATTCATTTCCATTATCTGCCAAATTTATGTAATTCCCTTAAAGAATGCTAGCTGGTATGAGTGCCACATAAAACTAAGAAAATATCAAGAAGAGCTGAATGTAACTTGCCTGCATTTCATTATCCAAGGGCCCTGGTGCATAATTAAGCACCAGAATGTTGGGTTCCTCATCTGCCAAAACCTTAAAGAGCATATCCCTAGCAGCTTTTCCAGCACAATAAAGTCCCCAGGATTTAAAGGGCTGTACAGCACACAAGGACGAGATGTTCACAATCTCTAGTGCCACATTAGGCTGTTTTGACATAATTTCTATGACCACTGCATTCAGCATCACCACAGAGCTGTAACAGACCACCAGCCAAAGTATTAGTTTTAACTATTTTACATCCGAGGGCAAGAATTTACACAGTAAAAGAGGGCATGCGTGAATGCTTTCTTAGATAAATTTTAGTTTATGCAAAACGTTTAAAATAATGTATGTAAAGTACAAAAATGTCTACAATATACAGACAAAATACACCTTAATTTATAGTGTACTGTATATACAATATTTATACTTAATTTTAAACATTTTGCTATACAAATTTTTAATTAACATTACACTAATAAAAGTGCAGTATCCCAGATGGACACTACCAATAAATTCTGATTAGACAATTTTTTTTATATCTATTAGCAACACTATTGAAAACAAGTTCAACTATATTAAATTTGTAGTCCCTGTAGTTCTAAATGTGTCTTCTCCCCCCCCCCAAAAATGAATACCTATATACACAAAAACATACTCAGCATTCAGAGAGAACCCACCTAACATTCATTTGGAAATAACTGTTGACATGGTCAAGGTCCTTGAGATTCCGCAGGTATACAAGATCTCCAAGGGACCCAGCATTGTGGAATATGACACATCGAGTTGGAGGAGGATCCTGTCCTACTATCAGCAATTTATCCAGGGCCTTCTCTAGATTTTCCTTACTAGCGGTACCAAGATCCATCACGACAGAGGTGAACTGTTGAATCACAGGGAGAGACTTGAAAAATAGCTTGCCTGTGGCTTATATAGTGTAAAGAAAAATGTCATGGGAAGTTGTAAAATGCAAAAGGGAAATCTCGTATGAAATGTACATTTCATTAATTCAATTTGTAAAAAGGTTTCTACATTACACACTGTACGTACATTACACTTTGCAGCAAGGTTGCTGCAGTCAATGGATTTCGACTTTCAATATATCGTACTTTGATGCATGATGAATTTTGGTCTGGAAAGTCAAGTTCACTTACCTTCACGTCAGGATTTGCCTTATGGACATTAGAAGAGGTTGTATCTAGTCCCTGTTGTGAGCGAGCGACGCCCACGATGCGGGAGCCGGCGGCCACCATGCCAGCTACGCCCTCACAGATGGCCGCCCCTAGACCTCTCGAAGCCCCTGTCACTACCACCCAAGTCACGCCCGGCCACGTGGTTTTGGATCCCTCGCTCATCTGCAGGAAGAAGTTAACATTTACTTGAGAGCCCCCATCTCTCTCGACGGAGCCAGAAAGCCGGCCGCTTGTCAAAGGTACTATGATTATTAGCGAGAGGGTCCCGGTAGTACAGTCGGGTTCGTTTTCGACTCGATTGAAAATTTCAGGTTCGAATCCCAGGCAAGACAGGAATGGTTGGGCAGGTTTCCTATCACCTAAAGCAGTAAATGGGGACCCAGAAGTTAGTCAGCTTGTTGTGAGGTTGCATCCTGGGGAGGGTCAGTAATCTGACCCTGTGTGTGTGTTGGGGGGGGGGGTCATCGATGTAAGCCTAACATGTATATATTCACTAGCTGACTGTCCACCGACAATGAATTATTAAATTATAAACTTCACACTAGCGTGTATGTCATCACGCTTCACACATATTGGGAAAAATTTCACATTGTTGGTGGAAATTTTGTTCTCTCAATATTAATTTGTCCCAATTAATATTGCACTGACATATACATTTCATTCAACAATTATGCATATTGACTTTGATCTTTTATTTGTGTCCACAAAATTAACAGTTATAATGCACAAATATTTCACCTGCACAGATTCGATACCTTTAACAAAATTTGGAGCGAACTTTCTAGTGTGTGGTCTGGTCAACGAACTTCCTATTTTCATATAGAGAATTAAATTGAAAATATAAACTTAATTCATTAATTATTATTATTATTATATAATAAGCAATATTATTGAGCTTGACAATAAGTCAAGCTCTTCAGCAATATGCAACTCTAATTGCTACTAATTAGCTCATTATGAAATTACTTCAACCCAGTTCAAACATATGCAAATAACCAGTATATTTAAATTCATAGGCGAGTAAAGAAGTCTATATCGTAGATTTCTGTATCACAATCAACTTGCGAATGGTCCAGGGCGGACAGAAACGTCGTCGTTCAAATTCAATCATCATCGTCCCTTCACTTTCTAGTGTGCGGTTTGGTCAACATATTTCAGCCACGTTATGTGACTTCTCGTCTGCAATCTATATCGTAATTTCTACCCGTGCAATATAATGCAATATTACGAGCAGCTTTATCACCCAACCAGTATATAGGAGCTCCCAGGGACAACCACTGACAATACATGCCGACTCACTTTCCCAGCATGACTTATCTATATAGCAGCACTTAATGACAGGCGTCTATATGTCACATGTAAAGTACGGGTGGTGGCTGCAGTGTGGTCACATCCTGTCACGTGTGGAAGAACGAGAGTAGTCACTGGGCAGCCACCTGCAGCTGGAACAACCCACCTTTAACTCCTGCAGCAGTGGCAGCGCTGACCACACTGACGCTCCCACGCCACCAGTTGCTCAAGCCTCGCCCCACCCCCTCCACACCCCGGCCACATCCCCTCAACAACCCTCCACATCCCCAACAAACCCTAACACAATACCCAACCACAACACCCCCGCCATTACTTTTCCCATCCTGTCTAACCTCTTGGGCTAGACGGTAGAACAACGGTCTTGCTTCATGCATGGCGGCGTTCAATCCCCCAGCTGTCTGATTGGCTGGGCACCATTCTTTCTCCTCGTCCCATCCCAAATCCTTATCCTTATTCCTTACAAGTGTTATAAAGTCGTAATGGCTTGGCGCTTTCCCCTGATAATTCCCTTCCTCCCCACAGCACCCTGTCATTGCCTTGCCACCCTCCTCCCCCCACAACATCCCATCCCACTACACTACCCACTACACACCCCAGTCACTGCCCCTCCACACATACCTCACCATAACCCTACAACACTTTCCTCCACAACCCCCGCCACAACACCACACACCCCACAATGTACGGGTGGTGGCTGCACAGCACACACCTGTTGATTGACGGTTGAGAAGCGGGACCAAAGAGCCAGAGCTCAACCCCCGCAAGCACAATTAGGTGAGTACACAATACCATTATCCTCGACTCCCCGTCATTCCCCCCACCAACCCCGCCCCATCCCTTTCACCGCCATTCCCCACCCCATCTCTTTCACTCTCATTTTCTGTTCGGGGAGAAAAAAACGCAAGCCAGTATGGGGGGGACTTATTTATTAAAATAGTAGATTATAAAGATGTAAAATTCTGCAGTAACACAAAATGTGTTGATGGCTATAAGTAAAAATTACCAATTCTATAACATAGTTGAGTAGATACAGTAAGTGCAGTTAAAGCAAATTTATAATGGGAATAATCAGTGGTAACATTTATTAAAAGTATCCTTAAAGCCAAGTATATAACAAGATAAGGCAAAATTCTGCAGAACACAAATTATGCTTATTGGCCATGAGTAAAAGTACATGACAAATGGTATAACATAGTTGAGTAGATACAGTCACTACAGTTAAAGTAAATTTATAATGGCAACTGTCAGTAATCCAAGAGCAATCGGACTTAATAATTAACACGCGAAGTGAAGCTTCAGCAATGCTCAAGATTAATCAAGATCTATCTGCCAGAGTCGACCTCCTCCAACAAGAATTAAACTCTCAAGACCACAGTACCTGACTTTAAACCAGCAGAAACCACTAGAAAACAGGAAGCCATGCTACAACAGTTTGAAAACTATCTTAACACCCTTCAACAGCTACACACTACCCAAGACGAATCAGACCAACATAAACTCCTTGATACTGTCGTTATCTCTTCACGTGATTTTCCCCAAGAATCTGAAGGAGAAGACTGTGCTACCATCGTGATCCATGAATTGCAGAATAAGATTAGATATTCAATCAAAACTAGTGGCATCAAATCAGCTTATAGAGAGGGTATCAAATCACCTGGTATAAATAACAGGAGAATTCGAGTTAAACCATAACACAGATAGCTGCTATTATTTATTAGATAGCTGCTCCCGCAAGTCAGACCTTATCAAATCTGCAGTCTCTAGTAAATCCACTGTTTATGTAAATGAATGTCTGACCAGGTTCAGATAAAATCTTTTATTTAAACTGCATGGTTTCTGCAAAAATTCCCCTGTAAATAAACATTGTTTTGTTCGAGAAGGTAAAATTATAGCTAGGAGAACTGACACTGGAAAAACCTATTTAATAACCACTGAAGCTCACCTCAATTCTTCCCTGAATGATTGTGGGATAGCTGCTGAATAACCAGAATTCAAATTTTAATCTCATTTAACTACCAATGTGTACTTTAGCTCTGTCTTTCCTTTCAAAAGGTTTTAACTTTATTAAAAAAAATTATCATCTTTATTATTGTCTTTTTTTTTTTTTTTTTTTTTTTTTACTCCCTTGTTTCATAGTACACTGGAACAAGGTCCCCCCTAGTGATCCTGTGTCCTCTAGTATAAACTTTATCATTCAGGGTACCTGAGTGTATCTCTATTTAAACTACCTCATTTTGTTTTAGTGTAACTTTAGTATTCAACTATAGTGTACTTATAATATTATAGTAAGTAAGCTATTCGTTTTATAAATTTCATAATTGCTTTTTGACTTTTATTGGTCATCTATTATTATTGATTACTCTAGTTCATTTTTACATTCCCAAGTTCCCATTAAGTTTTTATTACTTAAATTACCATTAAGTTTATATTACTTTAGAATTTTTATTCTACTTTTTTTTTGTAACCCAGGTTGCCTAGCCTCACCATCCTTGCTCCATTGTGCGCTTGGCTTTGCCTGTACAATTTATTTATTTATTTATATACATACAAGAAGGTACATTGGGATTGTGAGGATACATAGCATAGTAATTACATTCTTGTAAAGCCACTAGTACGCACAGCGTTTTGGGCAGGTCCCTAATCTAAGAAAATTTTACGTAGGTAAATACTAGCAAAATTTATAAAAATAATAACAGGTACATAGCAAGAAAAAAATAAAAGATGAGAGAAATTTGTAGGTACTGTATATTAAAGCACATAGGTAGCTCAGATTGATTGCAATGACAGCTTGAATGGTAGTTTACCAAAAAATAGTAGGCACAATACAGCATATGGCTAGCTCATAAAAGAAGACAGCAATGAACACAATGATAGAGTTGTTTGGATTAAGTACATAAAGATTGGGAGATTGGGTAACACTAGATACAGAGCAAATTTAAAGCTTAGTGTTGGAAACTACGAAGATAAAATTAGGTACTTTTTGTTTTTGTTTTTGAATGAGGCAAAAGTTTGACAGCTTTTCAACTCACTAGGGAGTGAGTTGAAAAGTTCCATAGACTAGGCCCCTTTATTTGCATAGAGTGTTTACACAGATTTAGTTTGACCCTGGTGATATCAAAGAGATATTTATTTCTGGTGTGGTGATAATGGGTCCTATTACATCTGTCCAGGGAGAGTTTCAGAGCATGGTTTGCATTTAAGAACAGGGTTTTGTAAATGTATTTGGCACAAGAGAATGTGTGGAGGGAGTTAATAGTTAGCATGTTAAGGGATTTAAACAAGGGAGCTGAGTGTTGTCTGAAAGCAGAGTTTGTTATAACTCTGATAGCAGATTTTTGCTGAGTGATGATGAGCTGGAGGTGGTTTGCAGTGGTAGACCCCCATGCACAGATACCATAATTAAGATTGGGATAGATTAGTGCATAATATTGTGAGAGGAGAGCAGAGTTAGGAACATAATATCTGATTTTGGAGAGTATACCAACTGTTTTAGAGACTTTCTTAGTTATGTGTTGAATGTGGATGCTGAAGTTGAGTCTCTTGTCTAGGAATAGGCCAAGAAACTTTCCATCATTTTTATTACTGATGTTAATGTTGTCTATCTGTAGCTGAATTGCATTCGATGATTTGCTTCCCAATAAGATGTAGTAGGCCTTTTCTATGTTTAGTGTTAGTTTGTTAGTTGACATCCATAAGTGGACTTTTTTTTATTCATTATTCACAACATTGCTTAGTGTATGTGGGTTGAGGTCTGAATAGATGAGGGTAGTATCATCAGCAAACAGTATACGTTTTAGAATATTAGAGACATTAGGCAGATCATTGATATATATAAGAAATAGAAGAGGTCCTAAGATGCTGCCCTGTGGCACTCCAACGGTTATTGGTAGAGTGGGAGAGGTTATATCATTGATGGCTACACATTGGTGTCTGTCACTAAAGATAGGATCGGATATAGGCCAGGGCAAGGCCTCGGATTGCATAATGCTGGAGTTTAAGTAAGAGATAGTTGTGATTAACAGTATCAAAGGCTTTTCTTAGGTCAATGAAGAGTCCAATCGGTAACAAATTTTTGTCAAGAGCTGAGTAGATTACGTCAAGGAGACTAATGATTGCATCATTGGTGCTCTTTTGGGACCGGAAGCCAAACTGGCAGGGGCTGAGTATATAGAATTTTACGAGGTAGGAAAAGAACACTGCTTTTCCCAAAAGCGGTGGGTTTTCTGTGGGAAGAAATGGTCACTGCTTGACGCAAGCGGGGATTTTTCTGGCGGGGGAGAAAGAAACATTTGCGCAGCGCGTCCCGCGGCGTTGCGCGGGCAGTTTGGGGCCGTATAAATACGGGCGCACAATGGGGCCCTGCCCTCACTCCGCCTGCCCTCGCCGCTGCCCTCGCAAAACCCCACCCTCCCCCCCTTTGCAAGCGGCTGCTTTGTACCCCCGTCATGCTTTGCACAGTTGTCCTGGTTGTCTCCCCACTGCATGTGGGAAGGGGGGTGCAGCGCCGGTCCCCAAGTGTCCCGCTGTCCGCAGCTAATACTTTGCCCAGTCTAGGTGCTAGTAAGCCCTACTTGTAGTCACCCCCTTCTCCTTATTCATTAGGTCTTTCCGGCCTCTTGGTCGGGTACATTATGTGTTATGTGGTCTCTCACTTATTAGTTACTCTTTGTGTCCTGCCTGTTATATCCTAGTGTTATATAATTACTCACATTTGCATTCGGCCTTAATTCTAGTACCAGTTAAGCTTTACGTTTCTGCAGAATTAGTTTCCATGTCACTATAGGCTAAGGTCTCATAATTACTACGGGTGTACCTTTTAAGTTAAATCTAGTCCTCGGACTTGGAATTGTTACTGTTAATTCTTACTTTATATATTTACATGTTCTGCAGAATTTAATCTTCAATAAACTTTAACGCCCCATGCTGCCAGTATCTTTCTCCCCCTGGTCAGAAAAACGTATGTCTGGGAGATGCGTCTAACCGTCCAAGCTGCGCGCAACGAGTCAGTGTTTATATAAGCCTTGCCCGCAGACTGGGGACCCCTGTTCTTGCCACGCTTGCAGTGCCTCACTTACAAAATGTTCCTGTTCGTTCCAGTTCCTATCAACAACGTCTCA